AACGCTACAAAGCAAAAAAAACTGTACCCTGTGTTATCAAAGCTACAGTTAAGAAATCTCTGTATACAACAAACACACAGAGTGTCCGACCTTTCTTCTTTGCTCCTGGAGATCTGGTATTGGTCCCTGCTGCGCGTGGCTGCTGGCTGCGTCCATCTGACAAAAGAGGGTTCCCCACCTCATCTTGTGGAAGAAAATGTCAAAGTTATCATGTGAATGAAATCAAAAATGAATCTCATTGCTAGTAAAACCACGGCTCAGAAGGCTGTGTACCCTGGATGAAGTTGATGAACATCTCCAGATCCCTGATTTGCGTTTTGAGCTGCTCCACCAGCTGCTCTTTGACTCTGGCTGGGTTCACTATCTGAGCGATGGCAGCGTCCACTCTCTGCCTCAGCTCCTCAGGTGACAAGTTCCCGATGTCCTCGTTCAGGTTTACATCCAACTTTTTGATCAACTCGTCAATGATGACCTGGAAAGCACAAGACAGGCTGAAGCTTAAACGCCTTTTGTGTATTGTCACTGCCTCCAAGAGGGAGTAGAAGCTTTTGAATGTTAAAGGCATTCTTAAATTTAAACTTGATGGCTGTTTAAATATGTTGCTGTTGAAAGTTGCTTATTTGCACACTCAACAGATAAATGGCCTGTATTTGTATAGCTTTACTAGTCCCTAAGGACCCCAAAGCGCTTTACACATCCAGTCATCCACCCATTCACACACTGGTGATGGCAGCTACATTGTAGACACAGCCACCCTGGGGCGCACTGACAGAGGCGAGGCTCCCGGACACTGGCGCCACCGGGTCGGTGAAGTGTCTTGCCCAAGGACACAACGACTGAGACTGTCTAAGCCAGGGCTCGAACCGGCAACCTTCCAGCGAACTCCCAACTCTTGAGCCACAATCGCTCCAAATTTGGCCGATGACATCATGGAGATCACTTCGACTTTCTCATGTTTGCATGGCTTCATTCAGTGGCATCACTAACACACAGTTCAAAAGTCTAATGAATAATGGATTGGCTCAGCTGAGAAACTCTTTTGCTCTTAGAGCTTATAGTCGCGAATGAATCTGTGGAAATGTTGTACTTTTAAAAAAAAAACCCTCATTTAAAAAAAAAAAAAACCCTTCTGAACATAATGTGATCTCGAGCAGGTTATCTAACAGTGATCTCCCCTAGATAAAAGAGCCATCTTCCTGACAGCGAAATCTTTCGCTTTAGTCTCAAGTTCCTCACCCTTCCAGATCAAACCAACTTTGATTTCCTGTTATATAACCTTCATATATGCGAACAAAGAAATGGGACAAAAATAACTCAAATATAAATATAACTACTTGTACAGCTTTGTGATTACAGGATAACCTCTGTACTTTTTAATAAGTATTAATAGGTATGAGAGAAACAGCTTATCCTTACAAAACCTGGGGCACGCTGAGGTCAGATATTTGACCTGAGCTGAAACACGCAAACGTCACATTATATTGCTCAGCATAATGTAATGTTTATGAAAGTACTCGAAGACACTTCAGACGGTGGAAGAGCCTGAAGTTTTTATTTGCACTTTGGTGGTTGTAAAGATTAAAAGAGAAACAGGGATTGAAGGCTGTCAGGAAAACCTGTAAACAGCATTTAAGTGCTGTGATGTTTGCATTGACACAAACCCACCTTCTGTCTCTCCATGACGACGGACTGCGGCAGCGAGTCGTAGCTTCCCTCCTGGTAGGCAAAGCGCTCAAGATCATCCAGCTGCGTCTTCAGCTGGAAAATGAGATCCTTCTGTTTTTCCCTCTGTGCTTCCAGACGTTCCCTCTTCTCCCTCTCACTCTGACAGGAGAAAAACACAAACAGTCACTCTAGATTTTACAGACAGGAGGAGCTGACAGTGTGAGCATCACAACACTGAAACAGCATGTAACAAACAGACACCAGTGTGGACGCTTTGCCAGCATCAACAAACGGAAATTTTGTTCCCAGCATTTTCCAGTTAAGATGAAAACACACAAAAAAACCCCAGAATATTTGGGCCACTTCAAGGTCTGACAAACACTGAACAGGACTTTTACACAAACCAAACTCTCAACGAGACATCAGGTATCGCTTCATACTCACCAGATCGCCCTGCAAGCAAAGCATGCAACAGGGGAGACAAAGAAAAAGGGCTTTTAGGTCAAACACATGAGGAAAATCTATAGTCACACACACAGCAGCTAACGAGGACAAGGCTGTGGCCGAAGAGGGGTTAAAAAGAAGAAGAAGAAAAGGAACAAAGCAGGTGGCTTCAATTTCCCTGTGCAAACACAAGCCTTTATTAAACAGACTGAGATCTGCTCGAGGCATTTTTATTGAGCCTGCGCCGCTGTGACTCACACGCCTGTGACAAAAGACAATAGGAGACTTTTTTTTTTTCCATGAGAGATAAGAGTTCTGCAGGAACACACAGGTGGGCGCAGCAGCCAATCCTGTGATGCAATAAAGACACTTTAATCAGAATAACTGGCTGCTAGAGAGTAAATGTGTGCATGTTGGGCAGTTTAATAGCGCTATGAGCATTTACCCATCAGAAAAGACAGAAAAGGAGGAGGCTGGAAAACGAAACCAATTAGTACAGGTATGCAATGTTTATCCAATTTTAATGCTGACACAGAAACAGCTTTTCAACCTTTTGGTACAAAATACCAATAATATACAGCAATCCTAATATATGGAGTGAATGTGAGTAATAATAGGAATCAATTACAGAGCAACACAAGGAAATATTTATTTTAAAATTATGACACTTCTCGTCTGCGCACTGTCTGGAGGAAGTATAAAATCAGAGTCCTCACCGAGTTCTCCAGCTGCTTGGTGTCCTGAGCCCTGCAGCCCACCACATGCGGGCATCCCCTGAAGGCGAACTCCTCCAGGTCTGCCAGCATCCTCTCCTTCTCCTCGCTCTGTGCGTGAACGATCTGCTTCAGTCTGAACTGGACCTGAGCGAAGTGAGAGGTGAGTGCGAGGAGAGAGGAGTTTAGTAAGTCCTGCTCCTCCTCGAGCCTCCTCAGCCGGGAGGTCATTTCCTCCTCGCTGGCCGACGTCGAGCATCTCTGCCTCGAATGAGCGCCGCTGCCGCAGCTCCCGCTCTCATCCTCGGGGCTAGCCACAGCGCCCACCGGAGCCCACCGCTCCCCTGCTCCGGCTAGCACAGCCTCGCTATCCGAGGCTGACAGCTCGTCTGTGGACATCTTTGAACAGCCGACCTCGCTTCGGAACCGTGTCCGCTTTAATGTCGACGCTTGGAAGATCGTTTATTTTCTAATGCCGAGCCGAAAACAAGTAGAATCAACACAGACAGAACAGGTGCAACGCCATCTTAGGAGGAAGGATGATTCATACGTCAAAACGCAGGCACGTCAAGTAAACGGAGTCAATTGCCGGAAACTGGGCTCGCATGTCTTCAAAATAAAAGTTTAAATAAACGTCTACCTTAATATCGGAAATGCATACGTGCATAAAAGGATGAGCTAAATGAGCTAAAGGGACCCCGTTGGAAATGAAACATTTAATTATATCTTGAATGTAATTGCACTGAGTACCGGGGTGGCTGT